CACAGAGACTTAGTGAAAGATCACCTACAGTGGTAGAAACGCGGAACTTTGTCTCAAAAGGTCTGCTATACGAACGCTAATGTAAGTATGCTGAGATAGAGAGAGAAAAGTAACAGAAACGCCCAACGTGGGGCTCGAACCCACGACCCTGAGAGTAAGAGTCTCATGCTCTATCGACTGAGCTAGCCGGGCTGATGAGGAGTCCCCACAAGAACTAGACACTCTTAACAGTAATACCTTCCCTACCCGTGACAACATTCTGCTAAATCCTGATTTCATCTTGTAACGCTGGACAGAATGTGGCCCAGGATCTATGTCCAGTGCACGTGTTAGCAGTTGCAAGGCAGCAAAATGTCTAATTCTTCCCTGGGTGGGCTTGTACCACCAACCTTGCAGTTAACAGCCGAACGCGCTAACGGATTGAGCCACAGCGACTTAGTGAAAGGTCACCTACAGTGGTAGAAACGTGGAACTTTGTCTCAAAAGGTCTCCTATATGAACCCTAATGTAAGTTTGCTGAGAGAGAGAGAGAAAAGTAACAGAAACACCCAACTTTGGCCTCTAACCCACAACCCTGAGATTGAGAGTCTCATACTCTACCGACTGTGCTAGCCGAGCTGTTTCAAGAGCTAGACACTGTTTACAGTAATACCTTCCCAACCCATGACAATGTTCTACTAAATCCTGATTTCATCTTGTAACGCTGGACAGAATGTGGCCCAGGATATATGCCCAGTGCACATGTTAGCAGTTGCAAGGCAGCAAAGTGCGTAATTCGTCAGTCGGTGGGCTCGAATCACCAACCTTTGGGTCATTATATCTTGTTTAATACCCATTTTATTCATTTATACTATTCATTTTATTTATTTACTCATTTATATTAATATGCGAATATGTCTCAATAAATAATTAAAACTTTGTTAATTAGTTGAGTGCTATAGGTCTTACAAAAGCCTTTTATCTAAAAATAGTGTAATGGGGTGATCCCCAAAGGGGAGGGGTTTCCCACTCGTATGCGCGTAATGGTGGATCCCCAAGGGGGAGGGGTTTCCTCATTATGTTTAGGTGAATGGAGTTAGAAATTAAGCTCACCACCCCTTTAAAAGTTTGGAAGTTTTCCCTTGCCTCCGTTTTCTCCCTGGCATGGAATAGTGGCTGTGTATTGAGTGCGTGCAAACTTTTGATGTGCGTTAAGCATTGAGCATTGAGCATTGAGCGTTGAGCAGTAAACCTGCAGTGTTTAGAAAAACCTGTAATTCTGTTTCTTTGGCCTGCGGAAGTGCAATCGCATCAGCGAGTAACGGTATGTTTCTGTTTATGTCTTTGGCTATTTCTGGCGAGTTTTAGAGCTGTTAATTAATTATAAATAATTCTTTTAGCTACATCCATGTATGATCGGTGGATTGCTCACCATTTGCGTTAAGAGCCAGTTGACTGGGCTGCGGGTAAGTTTCAATTTAAGAGTCTGTAAATGTTTTATCTAGAAATGATTTTAAACGTTAACATGCGAATGAATATTGACTGGTTGTTTTATAGAGTGCCCGTTGCTGTTTTGCTGCTGTCTGGCGACCCGTTTGTGCTACGGAGGGGCGATTCACTTTCCTTCTCGGCACCTGATTGTGGGTGACTCTGTTGCGTCAAGGCAGAGTGTGTGTGTGTGGGTGTGAGCGCGCGCGCTTATTGTGCGAGGGTGCGCTAAATTCTTTCGACGTTGGCGCGGTTGTGAGTGTGCGTGTATGTGTGCAGTGTTGTGATTTAACTATTTGGTGGGTTTGTATTTTGTTTGTGTAAATTGTGAAGGGCTGTTATTGTTCAACTTCCATTTCAATATTAACAGCAAGGATTACCTTATATGGGGAGGGTTGTGTTATTTTGGCTTTGTTTGTTATGCGGGTGGTTTATTTTGAGTGTGGGTTAGTTTCTCTTTATTAATGAGTGTTTTGTTTTGAAGGTTTCGTTTGCACTGGAGTGTGGCTTTTTCCTTTTGATCTTTCCCAATGGTATATCCTGTGTAATATTGAGTGTGATAGAGCAGTGGCCACTGACAACCATTATACAAACCATTGTATTGTTTTGTGACTTATTGTAATTGATTATCTGTTTTATTATTACATTTTAAAGAAACTCTAAGTGTCTAATAAAAGATTGTTTGTACACATCTCTGCTTTATTTCCATTTGTTTGGAGAAAACCTGAAGTTGTGGGTAGTAAAGTGAACCTCTATTTGGTTATATTCAGTACAGTACGGGCCCCGGTCACATTAGCATAAAAACTCTTAACTGTACATAAGCTCATTGATCTCTCCATTTTCTTCTTAAAATAGGTCTCTGGTAATTCATTCTCCTCGCCCAACTATTTTTTTTTTTTTTCAATTATTTCAATGCAGTCTTTTGGTATTGCTTTTTTCAACTCATGACATTGTCTTTGTAATTTTGCTTTAACAACTCTTTTATACTATCCTCCACAATTACTTTTAATGGTACAAATCCTTTTATTACTTCATATAATACATCTTTAACTTGTCTTAATCCTCCGTCCCACCATTCCTTAAAATATAAAACATTTCCTTCACTTAAAATTGTTGAATTCAGTAAAAGTGGTTTTTCTAGAATCTGTGCCCTTGCTTTTGGTATAATCAACACATTTTCTAAAAATCCCCCTCATGATTCTAAGACCTCAACATAATATTTTGGCAGACCTGCTATCATCCGTTTCTTCATCTTCATATATAAAACATTACATCCAATATTAAAATGTCCACATTTCTTCAAATAATAATCCGACAAACTTTTCCAAATCACACCCATTTTCCCTTCCAAAAACCTTTGAATAATCTTAATTGTTAATGTTTTCATTTTTAAAAAACTATCTAAAAGTCCCAGACCTCCTTCTACCTCCCCAATCAAAGTATAATAAGCAATCTTGGCTCTTCCATTTCCCCACAAAAACTTTAAAACTACAACATTAATTTTTTTATAGTATACTTCAGGCAACACAGTTACACTTAACACATACCAGACCTTTAACAACATTAAAGCATTTAAGATGAATACTTTCCCTTTTAACGTCAAATTTCTAGCTTTCCAAAATCTCAGTCTTTTCTCAATTCCATTTAAAACTCTCTCCTAATTTTAAATATCTGCTTTATTAGAATCCATCCCCACCCAAATTCCCAACATTTTTTGTGTTCCTTTTCTTCTTTAAAGGGTATATGTTGTGTTATTTCTTTTACTCTTCCCACCCTTGTGCATAAACTTTTTCCAACATTAACCTTAGCTCCTGATGCTTTACAATATCACTCTAAAATCCCCAACGATGAAGTATCATCAGCGTATTGATACACAGCTTCTCTGTTGTCATTGTTTTCTATTTGTATCCTTTTAATGCTTCTATCTGATTTTATTGCCAATCCCAGTGGCTCAGCTACCAGTGTGTATAATAAAGCAGACAGTGGAAATCCTTGCCTTATTGATCTAGTTGGTTGAAGACATTCTGTTAAAAAAAAATACATTTAATACAAGTTAAAATATCTGTTTAAAAAATTTAATCCATTTTCTACAATTTTCCCCAAATCCAAACTCCTTAAGAACTGCAAATAAAAAATCCTGCTCTACCCTGTCGAAAGCCTTCTCTAGATCTAAACCAGGGGTGGCCAACCCTGTTCCCGGAGAGCCATCTTCCTGCAGATTTCAGTTGCTACCCGTAACAAACACACCTGCCTGTAATTATCACGTGGTGTTCAGGTCCTAATTAATTGGTTCAGGTGTGTTTGATATGGGTAGCAACTGAAATCTGCAGGAAGGTGGCTCTCCAGGAACAGGGTTGGCCATGCCTGATCTAAACCTATTAACCCCCCCCCCCCCCCCTTCTCTTTTTCTTTCATATAGTAAACAATTTACCTTCCCCAATTCACCTGTACCACATGTATTTTTGATTGTGGGGAAAACGTGAGCACCCAGAGGAAACCTACGCGAACACTGGGAGAACATGCAAACTCCACACAGAAATGACAACTGACCAGGGCACAGTACTGTGTGTGTGTATGTATATATATAAAGCAGCTACTTTTTTCAGCAAATTATGTACCCTTTAGCCCCTTCACAACCCTTTGAATGTTTATATTATATTTATTTTTGTTTTATTATTAATTTAATTTGTATTTATTTACTTTTTTATGGTAAATACAATTGTCATTACTATACTGTTTTTTTCCCTATATTTGTGTCTGCCTATTGTTGTAATTGTATTAGGTCTTGCTTGTTTATGCATGTAATATATACATATATATATATATATATATATATATATATATATATATATATATATATATATATATAGCCCCTCATGTTTTTTTTTTTTTTTACATTTTCTAAATTATGTAAAACATAGTAAGAAAATCTTCACAGTATGTCTGATATTCTTTTCTTCTGGAGAAAGTCTTATTTGTTTTATTTCAGCCAGAATAAAAGCAGTTTTTTATTCTTTTTTTAAACCATTTTAAAGACAAAACTATTAGCCCCTTTAAGCTATTTTTTCCCGATAGTCTACAGAACCATCCTTATACAATAACTTGTCGTATTTACTGTCATCATTGCAAACATAAAATAAATCAGTTATTAGAGATTAGTTATTAAAACTATAATGTTTAAAAATGTGCCAAAAAAGTCTTATCTCCATTAAACCGAAATCGGGGAAAAAAACAAACTTTTTTTTTTACTTGTTCAAACTACTGAATTAAAATGTGCTGAAATAACACAATTCTTGAGATTTTGAGATTGGGACAACTTAATGTTCAGTCCAAATAATTTGGTAAAAGTATTAAGTTACCTTAATTTGTGTTGAGACAACATGAAAGAATTGTGTGGAACCCTGCACAAATATGGTAATCGGTTCACAATAAGTTGAAACACACTGTTAGATTTTGCTATTTTGGCTTCTTGGGTCGCTCGCCAATTTATAGATGACTCTTAATACATAAAATAAGTAAGCTGTACAAAGTTCTTACGGGGTGAAGACTTTATTGAAGACAATGAATAGTGCAGTGCCTCAGCTGTGATGTTAACTTGTCTGTCTTCAAGTAACTTAAACCAAAGTACTGTCTGTGAGACACTGCTTTATAACAAAGGATGATGTAATTTGTGAATCATGTTTTAGCTAAGGATGTGATCCTCTCGAAAGTAGTTTATAAATAATCTTCACTTGAATGAACAGCCAAACTACATGAAAAAGCTGCCGTTTTGAATAAACCCGTGTTTGTGTGGACAAGGCCTCAATTTTGAGGACTCTGCTCTCCATTGTGAAGCTTTAGGTGAGTGTTGAGGCTTCTTTTACGCTTAAAGCCCTTTCCACACTCACTGCATCTAAAATGATCCTCTCCTGAGTGAATCTTCATGTGTTTCTTAATGGAGTCTTTGCGTGTGAGACTCTTTCCACACTGATCACATGTGAACACTATGGTTCCAGTGTGACAATTCATGTGGTTCTTGAGGCTAGCTTTGGTTGTGAAGCTCTTTCCACACTGAGCACATGCAAATGGCTTCTCTCCAGTGTGAGTTCTCACATGGTGTTTGAGTGTGGTTATATGTGGGAAACTTTTACCACACTCTGTGCATGTGTAAGGTTTCTCTCCAGTGTGAATCCTCATGTGGATGTAAAGGTCTTGTTTTTTACCTAAACTCTTTCCACACTGTTCGCAGGTGTAAGGTTTCTCCCTAGTGTGAACTCTCATGTGAGCAATCAGGTTCGCCTTTTTACTGAAACTCTTTCCACACTGTTTACAGCTGAAAGGCTTCTCTCCAGTGTGAATTCTCATGTGCGCTGCCAAGTTTCTTGCATGACGAAAGTTTTTTCCACACTGTTGACATGTGTATGGCCTCTCTCCAGTGTGAATTCTCATGTGGGATTTAAAGCTTTGTTTTTGACTAAAACTCTGTCCACACTGTTCGCAGGTGTAAGGTTTCTCCCCTGTGTGAACTCTCATGTGAATATCAAGGTGTGACTTTTGACTGAAACTCTTTCCACACTGTTTACAGCTAAAAGGCTTCTCCCCAGTGTGAATTCTCATGTGAATATCAAGGTTTGGCTTTTGACTGAAACTCTTTCCACACTGCTTACAGCTGAAAGGCTTCTCCCCGGTGTGAATTCTCATGTGTGCTGCAAAGTTTCCAGCATGATAGAAGCTTTTTCCACACTCTTGGCATGTGAACTTACTCTCTCCAGTGTGAATTCTCATGTGGACTTTAAAGCCTTGTATTTGACTAAAACTCTTTCCACACTGTTTGCAGGTGTAAGGTTTCTCCCATGTGTGAACTCTCAAGTGAACATGAAGGTTTGACTTTTGATTGAAACTCTTTCTACACTGTTTACAGCTAAAATTACACCCAGATTTGGATTTCCGAGGTCTTCCATGTGATGAAGTCTTTTTAGTCAGTGTGGGTTTTTCATCAGTTGTTATTTCTTGTGGTTTCTCAAACAGCAGTTTCTCATCTATTTCATTCTGTTCATGAGTCTCTTCCTTTAGCACCATCCGGTCTAAAAAAAAAAAAAAAAGTTAGCTTTAGTATGAAGACTCAAAGTGACAAGCAAGAAATGAATGTTGAATGTCTTACCATAAAATTACCTTACCATTTACTCTCCATCATGTGGTTTTAAACTTTCCTTTATTGTGGAACACAGTAAGCCAGTAGCGTTTTTTTTTTTTTTTTTTTTTTTTTTAATCTTCTGTGTTTAACAGGATCAAGAAACTCATAAAGGTTTAAAACCACACGAGGAAGAATAAATGGTGAGGCTATTTTCATTTCTGCATCAACTATCCCTTTAAAAGGTTCCTACAATTACCCATTTTTTACAAGATGTACAATTAGTCTTTGGTGTTCCCAGAATGTGTCTGAGGTTTCAGCTCAAAATCAGATCATATACCTTGCAGAATATTTAATTTTAGGGGTCAGAGGAAAACCAAGCTCTTTTTGTGCCTGTGACTTTAAATATACAAAATAATAATGATAACCCAGGGTTTACAAATGTGAACTGTCGGTTAATGAACACCCAGGATTATTTTTTAAACCCATGTATAGCATGAGCAGTGTGGAAGGTGACTAAAAATAACCCAGAATTTATCCAGGGTTAGAATGACCCAGGGTTAACAATTTGAAGTGTGAAAAGCCCTAAGAATACTCAGCATCAGCTTTCAGGATAAACAGAGTATAATGACAAACAGCGACAATTGTCAATCACGTCATGATGACCTGGGGCCTGTTTCAGTAAGGAGGTTCAACCAACTCAGAGTTTAAACTTGAACTCTGAGTTGATTTACCGAGAGATAAAATACTCAGAGTTTTCAATTTCAGAAAAACATTAGAGCTACAAAAGTCTTTCAGTCAAGAGCAGTGAGTGATTTTCTCCTTTTGTTGTTTGATTAATGCTAAAAACAGTCGGCAGCAGTATAATTGCGCACTGTCATTTTAAGAAAAGTGCGGCTCTGATATGGTTTCTCTTTCACATGTCTTTTGATTCTCAACTTGTTTGTTTATTACACAAATAAGGGTTAATATGAATATTCACTAAACACAGCACTCTGACCCAAATTTGCATGCATTTGACCATTAAAGCGCTCAGATTAAGATGGCTCTAGATGTGTGTTCTATATGATGGAATAATCGTTTATCTCGATTAATGGTTTTTCATAATCATTAGCAGCCAAAATCGAAATTGAAACCAGATTTTCGATTAATTGCACAGCCCTATCAAGTGGTAGAGGTTGATATGACATTTAAAATGTAAGCAGGACTAAAAAATCTTTTTAGAACGAGTAATAATCCCATTAATCTAGTTACAGTACATGTCCGTCAAAGATTAGTGAATTTAAGCTAATTATTCATTAAGAAAGGACAAGCCATTCTGCTATGTGACTTTGTTCTTTGTGTAACTGAAATGTAGGCAATAGCTATGTTTCCATCCAAAAATGCTAATTGAATTTATGCGCAAAACTGGGATGTCACATAAAAGATGTGCGAATAAAGCTGCGTTTCCATCCAATGAATCAAAGAGAACAAAATCGTCACTTCCTGATTAACAGGCCCCAATTAAGAACAGTAAAAACAGAATTTACTGCGGTAGAAGAAGCTACATGAATCTTTAATTTAAATGACAGCTCAGAGGTCAATGCTGGCACACAGTGAACACGTGTTGGCGTTTGAAGCAATGAGACGCAGAGAACAGATGCTCTGGAGGTCATTAATAATATAATAACATGAATACTGAAACGGTTCAGGTGTTTTAGAATGACCAAAACAACATTTCAGATGTTTATAATGTTCTCAGCCTGCTGGTTTGTGCATTCACACACATTTTCATCATCATATGATCTCTTATAACAAACCTTTTTAAACACACATACTGGAATTTGTTCAGTAAAAGTGCTTGCGTTGTTCACGTGAGTTTATCTTCTCTTATCGAATAAAAAGTTTGTCCTACTCAGTTATGCGCATGTGTCTTTATGCTTACATTTCAAAAGTTATGTGCATCATGACATTTCCATCAACCATTTTTTTATGCTCATAGCCTATCCAAAAAGCACATAAAAATAGGTGGCTGAATATGTAAGGCTAAGTGAGAAATACTGCTTCATCTTTTAAAAAGGGGAGGAGACCGACAGAAAACTCTCTTTCAGAGACAGGCTCTCTTGCTCTGCAAACAAGTGTGTTCATGAATATACATACAAAGAAAAACAATAAAATAAGAAAATATGACTTTGCTACAATAAGCAGCATTAGGCATGGGCCAGTATAAGATTCTGACAGTATGATAACCTTGAATAAAAAATATCACAGTTTCATGGTACTGTGATTACTCTTTTAAATGTCTGGGTAAACAGACACTTTTTCCTCTTAGAACACAAAACATTTTCTTTTGAGAAACTTTTAAAGTATTTTGGAGCAGGAAACATGTCAGGCTAAATCACTCAATTGAATACTTGACTTCTGTTGTCTTCATTTGTTTCATAAACACAGATTTCTTTACAATTTAAAACAGCATCTTTGGAGATCTTTTCTGCTGGAGTTACTGTTGTCCTGAAAAACTTAAAACAAAATGTAAAAAAAAAAAAAACTAAAAAACTTGCATATAGCGATGAACTGCACAGCAGAAAATATTGGCTGTTTTAAAACCTTGACTTTTTTCAAACTGCGTTATACCTTGAAAACGGTTATCGTCCCATGCCTCAGCAGCACAACACTGTTTTTAGGATCTAAAATGTATTATTCCAATGGTGGCACCTGCTGGTACGTGAAGAATATGGTTAATATTGACGAACTTTACACTCAAATGTGTGCATATCATCAGCATGCTGTAATCCATTTCTTAAGCAGCAAAAGTAATTTAAGACTAGTTTGTTGGCCAGTTGTAGTCAGCGCAATGTTTAACGTTATTGTTCCACAATAGTTTGTTCATTTAGTCTCACGTCGCCCAGCAGCAACATCATATAGTTTAGAATTCTGTACAATGTTTTATAATAATTAATTATTTTAGTGTCCGTTTCATTCAGCATGTTTAATATTGGGGGCATCCATGTTTTTTATCGGGTAGGGCCGGGCCAATCGCAAGTGGGGGTTGAGCAGTGAGGCAGAAATCATGTCGCGTTTCCACTGTTGGGCTAGTACTCGCAGCGTGTCATGCAAACCCCGCCCCCAGAACGTCCCCCGAATCAAACGTCACACAACCCGCCCACTTCAGCGGGAATCAGGCAGATAATGCATGCATGACAGAAAAAAAGGTAGCCTAGTTTCTGCTTTCACTCACCCATAAAATGCTCTGTTTACATGATTTGATTAATATCATCGTATCCATATACTTTATAAATAATATTTCAAACCTCCTCCGGTGTTTATTGTTTTAGAAAATATCTTAAATCTTTTTTTCAGACAGGCCTATGTAAAATGAAAGTTTAATATGGGTTTAAATGGTTTGATTTATGTACTGTTTATAGGCTACCTAAATTATTATAGCTAGATTTAATTTGTTTTATATTGGTTTATTCATTTTATGTGATTTTATTATATGCGACATTTGTAATTATTTAAATTATTTCAATATATCTTAGGCTATTTTATTAGGATATGACACTATTGTTTTTGAGTCTACAAAAACGGACACGAAATTTGTAAAGTTTAATATCTTTCTGTTGTATTTATGTTGTGTATTATCTTCAAAATAAATAAAAACAGAAGCCGCTCGCAGCATCAACAGAGCTGTGAGAGAGCGCTCTTTTTCTCAGTCTCACATTCACATCCAGGCATCTAAACACGCACAAACACCTTTTAAACTTGACGAAAACTCTCAAAAACATTTTATGCAACAGCCTTACATTTAAAAGGAAAACATAAGGGCGATCATACGCAAAAAGACCCCAGCCTAAAAGGCTAGATGTTTTCTTTCCCTTATTTTTTTATTTGGTTATTTGTTTGGTGCATGTACTCGTGTGCGATCGGAAAACTATAGTGTCTGCCTCTCCTTTCACTCCGCCCCAGCTAGCCCTCTTTGGCCCAAGGTATTCAGCGGGCTGAAAACGGCCGGCCGCTGGGCTGAAAACGGCCGGCCCCGAGAAAGCCCCGCTTTGGCCCCGGAAGTGATAGTGGAAACGTGACTGGCCTTGGCTCGCTCACTTTAGGCGTGATATAGTGGAAACGCAGCTATTGATGCAGCTTCTCTTATCGCAGCAAATTCCATTTTTATTGTTGATATTTGGCGCCAGTTAATCAGGAAGTGATGATTTTGTTCGCTTTGACCAGGGGTCTCAAACTCAATTTACCTGGGGGCCGCAGGAGGCAAAGTCTGGGTGAGGCTGGGCCGCATAAGGGATTTCACAAAAAAAAGTCCTCAAATGTCATTATTAACAGTTTTAATTATTTCTTCTGAACATGAAGTGTCCTGAACATTAATAGAACATTGAGTGAAGATTATGAACAGTTCTTCTGAACATGGCATCTTTTGCCTACTCCTTGCTGCCAGAAACTTGACAGCGCTTCTTCTCACAAATCTGAACCACATTTGGCTTTAGAGCGGAAGCAGTTGAGACCCTCAGTATGGCTTGAAGATGATCATTATTAAGTCTAGACCTGTACTTTGACTTATTGAAGTCCTAGGGAAAAAAGTGGGGGAACTTACTCAAAACTTCCATTCCCTCACCTAAAAAAAAAGGCGTATATTTGTATAAATAAAACATCCCCACCCTACTCCTGTCTGTACCAGTCTGTATCTACCTATAATATATATAAGATGCAGGGCAGGCACGTGCACACATAGGGCTCAACCTGTGCAGTGCACATGCCCTTTTTAGTTTTGCATAGAAAGTGCTCTTCCAAAATGATCAAAAGTGCCCCCGCGACGCGACACACCCTCGGTCCCGCCCTTCAGTAGGCGCGTGATAACACCACTCTTAAGTACGCGCGCGACAACACAGCTGATCAGAACGCGCGCGACAACGCCCCTCCACACTTCCCGCCCGTCACAGCGTCTAACAAAAGGGCGGGGTGCGTGGTGACGTTACCGGCATCCTCGCCCCTTTGTTTACACGGCGGGCAGGGAATGCCAGTGACCGCTGTGTACGGATAGAATCAGCGGAGCGGGGAGCACTCTCTCTCCCCGCTCCGCTGATTCTGTCAGTGTACAGCGGTCGGCGCGGGCCACAAAATATTGCACTGAGGGCCGCAAATGGCCCGCGGGCCGCGAGTTTGAGACCCCTGGCTTTGACTCTTTGTCGTTGTATATGCACTGTCTGTATTTTGCACTGTTGTTGTATTTAAACTGTCTGTATTTTGTACTGTCTGGAGCCAGCACCTAAGCTTTTTACTCATCATAGCACACGTGCTGCTGCTGATGTGACAATAAAAGTGAGTTGATTTCATTTGAATGGAAAAATCCAGTTTTGAGCATAAAGTTAATTTGCATTTTTGGATGGAAACATAGCTCATGAGTGCTTATGTGCATTTAGGAGAACTAGGCTGCACACTCAGGGCTGCAAGATGGATTTAATTTAATATTCTTACTATTAAAATATATCTGAATGAGGATTAAATGACTGAGTTGGTCTTTGAGAATGAAAATCAACCTGTTTGTTCCTGCAGATCTTCCTGTTTGACTGTGAATGTTTCTTCAATCTTCACATCTTCACTCTCCTCTTTAATAAACACCATCTTTATAACAGTGTGGAGATCAGTTGCTTCAGCAGGAGTTTTTCTCTGTGTTTGGACACTTTGTCCTGCTTAAAATAAACAAAACAATAAAAATGTTCCATTTAAAATAAATAAAACAATGAACAGAAACAAAATAACTTCTCCTTAACACTTACTTCAACAGTTTCTTTATATAAGAGTAATTAACAAAAAATAAATCAGGAAAGTCTGAGCAAGAAACAATAGCCACAAATGACCTGATTAAAACTAGTAACATTACTTAATTTCTTATATATAGTGATGTATACTTAGAATGGAATGACATTATACTGTTTAATAAATTAAACCTTCAATAAAGAACTTATTACTCACATCTCTGTAACTTTTTAAACTTTATTATGTATGTTCTTAATCGTTTTGTTTGTTTTATTTAGCTTATTGTCTGCTTACAGCAATGTGTAGCACTTTTTTTGCACTAGACAAATTTCCTATCAGGGACAAAAAGGTTATCATATCTTTATTCAAACAATAGTACTGTTTTACTCACATTAATGAGGGCTATGTTGTATAAAGGGTAAAATAATATTATCAACAGCAGGTACATAATTTAGCACTGAATAACAACAAAACAGAAACTTTAATCAATCGCTTTATATAAGTGTAAATGCTTTAAAACAAACCTTTCTCCAGTTGAATCACAGCGCTGGAACGGCGCAGGCTTATGACGTCACACGTCACGCCAAAATAAAAGTCTTTTTTTTAAAAAAACCTTTTGCCACTTACTGTTGCAGTCTTGACTTATTGATACATTTCTCCCTCGTTTCCATTTTCTCACAGACGCACATATATTCAGTATTTGGAGTTGATCAAAACCTTTACTCTAAACATTTTAAGACAATTAAAAAAACTTTATTAATCTACTAAGACTAATTGTTTAAAGCAAAAATCTCAACATTCTAAAAGGTATAACAAATAATCTAATGAGTGTTTAGAGCTGAAACTTTACAGAAAAGGAGGTAAAATAGGTGTCCTTCATGTAAAAAGTATTCATTATCACTACACGTTTTAATTCTTCTAACTATTCATGACTTAGATATATATTTTCTCTGCGTTTGGACACTTTATCCTGTTAAAAATTAACAAAGCAATAAAAATGTAAAATGAATAAAACAATGAACAGAAAGAAAATAACTTCTCTTCTTCTTATGAGAGTAATTAACAAAAAGAAATCAGATAAGTCTGAACAAGAAACTATAGCCACAAAATAGCTGATTAAAACTAGTACTCCATTTCTTATATAAAGTGATGTAAACTTAGAATGGAATGACATTATACTGTTTAATAAATTAAAGCTTCAGTAAGACACTTATTACACACACGTTGTTCAATAGTCGTCATTACTGTGAGTAAAATAGTACTTCGTTGAATGTGTCTGTAAAGTTTCAGCTCAAAACACCCATCAGATTACTTGTTATACATTTTAGAATGCTGGGATTTTTTGCTTTAAACACTTAGTCTAGTTGGATTATATAAGTTAAACAAAATTGTGTTAATGTAGATTTAACTCGAGGAGCTCAGTGAATATTCATTTTCATTTGCTTTTAGAAGGTGTTAGTCTGTTAGATAAAAAAATGAAACAATAGCTCTGTGTGTCAAATTTTTAATTTAAAAGAAAAATTTATTTTAGAGGAAAGTGTTACTGGAGGTCTTTGGTTGAGTATATAGAATAGAACTTGGCTTTTACCTGGAAAATATTGCATTTCCAACAAGGCAAAAGAAATACACTTTAAAATTGTACAGGAAATCTACACAGCAAAATTTCCAGTGTTGTTTGGAGTTGTTTTTACAGTGTAAATTTTTTTGAGTTAAAAAGTGTTATTTGTGGTGTTAATTTACGTGACATAAACACCTGCAGTGTACCCTTGTTGTCAGAGTAAGGGTTAATACTGCAAGTTAACATAGTTAACACTAAAAACGAGTTGTTTCCATTTCCGGTCGCTTCACCTTACTTCCTCTTTGATTAATGGCGGATGGCACATGGAGAGCATTCAAACAGGTAACTGTCATATTACTTATTCAACCACAAATATTCAATACATTTTTACATGCTTTATGTTTCTCAATGTAAAATTTATATTTGTAATATTCTAACCGAGATTTCAAGTTCTAACCACTTGTCAATTTATACACGACAGACATCTGGAGCCGCGAGACAAGCTGCTTTAGCGGGAAAATAAAGGTAACTTTAAACATTTTACAGTTAACAGTTTTAAGGAGTTCCTATATTTGAATCGGGTTCAGTTCGAGCCTATTATGAGAAATAGGCAGTAATGACTCATGCAACCGTTTGAATTGTTTAAACTGTTTATTTGTTTTAAATATCTGCAAAGCAGCAGCTGTCAGTACTTAACGTTAGCTGAACTGTAACCTAGCTTTGTGTGCAATCTAACGTTATCTATAATGTTCACTGTTCAGTGCGATTGATTTGTGGCGCGAGCAGCGAGGAGTCGCGGGCTGCCTGTTCTCGCTTTCATCGGTGCTTTTAAACGGTAAATATCGTTATACGATTCAAGTGTACAGGTACAGACCTGCAGACCATAATACGTTAAAAACAGACGCAAAATACATTCGCTGTAAAAGTTAGCCGTGCTTGTTGACATGAAGGGATAGCCAGTTCAGAAATGATTCTTCTTTAACCGGTTCTTTTCAGTGAATCAATCGAACCAGTTCACTATATTAAACTGAATCATTTGAAAATGTTCGCTTCTGCGGTAAGCACTAATCCTTAAAATGGCTTACTTTATAACCTGTCTGACACTTAGTTTCACTCAAAAATACCGTATGTTGAGTTTCGACTTATTCAGTAACTGTAACAGACGGAACTGCTGTGAAAAGAACTGATGATGAGCGCAAATCGAGTAACGTGTTCCCTATAAGTGGAGCTGAGCTCCACTGACAACGACCGAAAAATGCTAAGCTCAGAAGAGACGAACCCAAGCAGACTGTTATTGCCATTGTTTACCTAGCAAATTTCATTGTTGACTCTAAGGTAGTAGTCGAATAGTAACTTTATTTATTTAATGTTGAAGTGCTGTTCAATTGCATTGCATGAAGAGCTGGCTTAGATAGAACTGTACGTACTCTTAACTTTTGAAGATCTTTTATTAATGTGTAATGTAAAAAAATTGTTTTTTAATCTGTAATGTGCATTTATACAAGTATAATTTTCCTATAGCCTACGTCTTGCTAACAATACTAGTTAGAAATTGGTATGTAGAAACCTTCATAATAAAAAACAAAATGAATGTAAATATAGCTATTTATAGAAAAAGAAAAACATAATGTGCTTTTTTATTTATATGTACTATTCATAATAACATCGGCTTCTGTATCACCTGAACATGAAAATGAATAAATTAACTTGATTTAATTTTACTATGTCAAGTTTGTGATAGATTCTTGTTAATAATAAAGTGATATATTGTGTATTTTTCAACAGCTTCCATCATGTTGGTGAAAGTTCTATTTTAAGGAGTGAAAAAATATGTAAAATTGCTTACTGATTTTACATTTTAAGGTTTTCGCAGTGAAGGTAAGTTAAGATTGTGCTGGTCAGAGTTGTGCTCACTAAAGTCATAACCATTTCCTGAGTCTGTTTTTTTTTTTTTTTTTCAGTGAAAAGCAAATTTGGATTATCAACAACTGCAGATCCTCAAGTTTTCGATGACATGGACACTAATGTAGAAGAGGACATCTTCCACGAGTTAATGGACAGCAGTCCACATTTATGCTTGACTGTTAGATGTTTGGAAAAAAATATTTCTGCTGGCCTGCCTGAGGGTAATTATTCAATAAATATTTGGACAGTTTTAAAATGCCTCTGTTTTACAGGAGTATAAGTCAAAACAGTTAGAATTAAGTAAAAAGAAGAAATTCATAGAAGAGCTTACTGAACAGTGGAGTGTGTATAGAAATAAAGAGTTTTTATGTTTATTGACCATTGCCAGGTGTTCGTTTAGCTTAAGTTCATGTGATGCCCAGTGATGAAAGGTTGATCAAAATAGTCAAAACCACGGTGTAGAAAAACATTGAGGATGATGGTGTATAGTAAAAGCTATTAGTACAGCATTGTTTTAAATTAAGTTGAAATATAAGATAAATTGATTGTAAACTAAAGACAATATTACGTAAAGGTTAATAATAATGTTTTCCATTTCTCCATCAGTGATTTCACCCACAAGATCATCAACAGCCAGCACATGTACTGATACAGTTTCACTCTCTTCAACGGATCATGAAGACCCAGAGCGAACAATGCAGAATCAATTGACAAGGACTAACAGCTGCTTGATAGTAGATGGTAAAGGGCAAAACAGGTATATGCATATGTTGTTTGTTATGGTTAATTCTATCATATACTAATTAACTTTTATTATTTTACAAGTATAACCATTTTTCTGGTCACTTTATCAGATTGTTCAAGATGCATTGGGAAAGCAATCTGGTGGTGATGAAGTACTTGACGAATACAAGGTCACAAAAACTTTAGGGCCACAGCACTAGACGGCAGCTGGTTAATATTGTCGTCAGTCACATGAAAGAGATTCATGGGTAAGATTTCATTAAATATATGCAAGAAAAGCATGGATTTTTTTTAAACCAAAAAAAAAAAAAAATGTAAAAAGTTAAGTACTGTCCTTAATCAAATATTTTACTGATTGTTAGGAGAATCCCCACGTGCAAGCAACGGGAGTCTTATGCTTTGGGCATTATTTCTCTTTTTCCCAGCCTGAGAGACCCGTTTTCCGCAAAAGGCTATGTAAGAAATTGTCTTATTGTACTTAACAGAACCTTGTTCATCCATTTTAATTATTTAACGCAGAGGTGCCCAAACCTTGGTCCTGGAGAGCCAGTGTTCTGCAGAGTTTAGCTCCAAATGTAATTAAACACAAGCTCTTAACTAGCAAACTAAAAACTTTCAGGCAGTTGTGTTGAAGCAAGTTGGAGCTAAACTCTGCAAAACACTGGCCCTCCAGGAATGAGTTTCGACACCCCTGGTTTAAAGGTTTGTGTTTTTTATTTTTATTTGTATCATACAGTCAGTCTTTTTAATGTAACTGGCATTTTTAAATATTTCTATCTATATAACAGGAACATTTTTACGATCCAGAAAAGGGAACCGTTTGTAATTAATCTAATATGCTTCTTTCTTAGATTATTCTTAGACAAGACTTTGGTCTCCTGTTCAATGCTGAAACATCCAACAAGTTGCTTGAGAGGTAGGAGACCGCATTTAAGCACAGGATCATCAATAAGGTTGTTAATGAAATCCCTAACTTCAACTGCCAGACTTCATTGTCTTATTAATTCAGCAGAAGGATAAGAATCTGAAAATGGTACGATTTTTAAGGATTTTGTAGTTTGAAATTTGCTTTGGTTTCTTTTGTATTTGTGAGCTATAAGTGTGAATGTGGGCTTGCTTCATTTTAATATTAATACGTATAACTTTTTTATCATCACTCATTCAGACTGGGATAATGATGTCATCTGTCCTACTCCTTCTGCATCTCCTACCTCCTTCAGAGAGAAGGAAGACTTAAGATCAGTTCAACAGAGGCCTTTGGAAGACTTGTGCATTTCCATAAGGTAAAACTCACAATATTTTCGAAAGTCTTTTCATTGTTATTATTAAGGTTGTTAAGACCATTATGCGATGCTGTAAAATGTACCTTTTGAAACTTTTTTTTAAAAGCCAATACATTCAGTTGAATGCTGTTGAAGCATGTATGTTACATCTTGGATGAAATGAGGGTTTATCAAAAAATATATAAACATATTTTTGTGGTAATTCTTTTCCCTGTCACACTACACAATGCATGACATGAACACATTTTATTTTTGCACTTTGGGTAAAGGTGGTTTTGTTTTATTTTTTGTGTTGTTTTCATTAACAAAATTGTAAGTTTCCTAATTGGTTTCCTGCATTTAATGACATATTTTTGGCTGTTTTTTTGCAGTCTTGCACCAGCATTAAAGACCATCTCAGTGAGAGGAAGGGCCACCAGCCATATCGCCTAAGATCAGGAAGGATCAAGGGGAGGATTGACCATTTCTATGTGGTTATGGACAAACATCTCATCTCTTGTGCAGCAACCAGGTCCTTGAGTGCTGTTGATGAACTCTTTAAAGACTGTGTGTTCAACTTGACGTACGAGGAAGCCCTTGTCTACATCTTTACCTTTCTGCAGACTAGTCTACAACATCGATGTTGGACCTACCAGTGAGTCACCCAGGGTAAAGAAACTGCGAGCAAAGCTTTTACATTAAATGTTTCTTTTACAATAATGTGTTGGTGTTGTCAAAGCTTGCAAGCAAGCAGCACCTCTTTAAGACTCTCACAGTTTTTGATACTGAAAATGCTGTACATTTTATGTTGGTCTAACTGCGTTTAAGATGCATTGTTAAAAATAAAAGTTTAAACTGGTAAACTGTTCTGACTTTTTTTTAACTGATCAATGCAAACTGTCCTGTAATGCAGTAAACAATCTATATAACTAAAAATACATTTAAATATCAACCTAGGTATGTATGAGCACTATATTATTAGTGTTAAGATGAACACTCTTAGTGTTAAGCTATTAACACTGCGAGTGTAATTTTAACATATTTACTTTATGCAAATAGGGAAAGTGAGTGGAAAACAGAGTTAAAGTCAACACTAGCAGTGCTTTTTTAACACTATGCAAGTGTAAAATAATTTACTCTTTTTCAAGTGTAAATTTAACTCGATTTAGTGTGGACCTATATAAACACTAAAGAAGTGTTAATTTTCACACTTTGAGAGTGAAATTAACACTTCAAAATTTGCTGTGTACCCTGTAAAATTCTAGTATTTTTTCCAAATTTTTTGACATCGACAGCTCCTGTTCTTTCTGCAAACAAGCAGAGGAGACACTTGTACATATGAGACACTTGTACATATGTTTTTTGATTGTCCAATTATCAAGCAATTTTGGTCACTCCTAAATTTGCATATATCTGCTTTTGCCAATGCTGTGAATTGCTTTATTCTAAAAGACATTATTTTTATTATAATAACCCAAAAGCTAAATCCCTGGAACACATCATACATTTTTTTTAATCTTATATGGCAAATTTTTCATTCACAAACAGAAATTTACAAATAATTACTCATCATTTGCTCATTTTAGAATAGAATTTAACACTCTCCTAAAATCAATTCATCTTATCAACAATAAAAACAATCTAAGATTCCTAAAATATTATGCAGATGTATTTAAAGAAGATTCTCGTTTTTAGTTGCTATAGTAGATTTTAGTTGCTTTCCTTATGGTGATTTGTTTAAGTGTCATTGTAATTTCATTCATTTGTTTAATTTTGCTTGTTTCATTTAGTAATTTTAATATTATTATTATTAATACTTTAATTATATTAATATTTTTTTCCCTTTCTGTCTAATAGTATTATTTGTATGTGATTTTATATATTTTTTCTCATGACAAAAAAAAAAGTGAATCAACTGGAGAAAGGTTTGTTTAAAAGCTTTTACACAGATATAAAGCGTTTGATTAAAGTTTCAGGTTTTTCATCCAATACTAAATGATGTTCCTGCTGTTGACAATATTATTTTAACCCTTTATACAACGTAATACTATTTTACTCAAAGTAAAGAGGACTATGGAACAACGTTAGTGTATTATAAGAGTCTTAATGAAGGTTTAATTTTTTTTAATTAAATAATTTCACTTCAATCTAAGTATACATTACTGTATATAAAAAATGCAGTACTAATTTTAATCAGCTCAGTTGTGGCTATTGTTTCTTGCTCGGACTTACTGGATTTATTTTTGTTAATTACTGAGTTTACATATAAATAAACTGTTGAAGAGGAGTTATTTTGTTTCTGTTCAAAGTTTTATTTATTTTAAACAGAACATTTTTATTGCTTTGTTAATTTTTAACAGGATAAAAAGTCCAAACGCAGAGAAAAACTAAATAATAAGTCATGACTAAAAGTAACTTAAAAAAAGGTTAAAAAGACTTTTATTATGGCGTGGATTGTGACGTCATAAGCCTGCGCCGACCCCGCGCTGTGATTCAACTGGAGAAAGGTTTGTTTTAAAGCGTTTACACTTATATAAAGCGATTGATTAAAGTTTGTTTTTTTCATTCAGTGCTAAATTATGTCCCTGCTGTTGACAATATTATTTTAACCCTTTATACAACGTAGTACTATTTAACTCACAGTAATGAGGTCTATTGTTTGAATAAAGATAGGATAAACTTTTTGTCCCCGAGAGGAAATTAGTCTTGGGCAAAAAAAGAAAAGTGCTATAAGCAGACAATAATATAAATAAAACAAACAAAACAATTAATAACAAACCTGAATAAAGTTTTAAGTGAAGTAACAGTAAAGTGTGTAATAAGTGTTTTAATGAAGGTTTACTTTATTAAATAGTATAATGTCATTCCATTCTAAGTATACATCACTATAAGAAATGGAGGACTAGTTTTAATCAGGTCATTTGTGGCTTTTGTTTCTTGCTCTGACTTACCTGATTTCTTTTTGTTAATTTTTTTTTCATGCAAAGAGACTGTTGAAGCAAGTGTTGAAGAGAAGTTATTTTGTTTCTGTTCATTGTTTTATTTATTTTAAACAGAACATTTTTATTGTTTTGTTCATTTTAAGCAGGATAAAGTGTCCAAACACAGAGAAAAACTGCTGAAGCGACTGATCTCCACACTGTTATAAAGATGGCGTTTATTAAAGAGGAGAGTGAAGATGTGAAGATTGAAGAAACATTCACAGTCAAACAGGAAGATCTGCAGGAACAAACAGGTTGGTTTTCATTCTCAAAGACCAACTCAGTCATTTGATTGTCATTCAGATATATTTTAATAATAAGAATACTAAATTTAATCCATCTTGCAGCCCTGAGTGTGCTGCCTAGTTCCCCTAAATGCACATAAGCACTCATTGAAAGACAGGCATGAGTTTCATTTGTTACTTGTTCTCATGTCTTTTGTCATTCTTTTATGTATTATTAGTCTCCCATTTTCATGATCATGGGCCAAAAATATCGTTATCGTGATGATAATACAATTAATCTCGCAATCTATATACCCTTTCATTATGTTCTTGGCTGTTTTTGACCTATTGACTTCCATTATAACCACATTTTTTAACCGCAAAGCCATGACACCAAATAATCATGCATTCTAGATTGTTGCTGTTTTCCTTGTTGGGAAGAGGTCAAATGTGTCTTTTTTACTGTTGATCATCAGTTGGCTGCATTCACCCTTTAGATGGGCCTGTTCAAATAAGTTTCTGTCTTTGATATGGAGTTCAGTGGAGTAAAACAGCAGATTTTAGTGTGAGTGCATAAATACACTTTGTAGGGGGACCAACAGTTTTAACCCAAAAATGACCCGTCTATCAGATGAAGAAGAGCAGGAGTCAGAGATTCAATTAAAAGAAAGTTTACAGTAGATAGTTTGCAGTTTCTTCAGCAGAGGCCAGTTTCAACACTCAACAGGTTTGTAGACCGATTTACATACAATCTCAGAACAGCAACAATTAGATGTCTAGAATTCCCTCTGTTCTCTCTATGCAAACTTTTTTAAGAAATGCGTCAGTAAAGTGCACTGAAACTTCACAAAAACAAAACACACAGGGAATATTTGAACCTATCAGTTTACAATATACTGATGCCGTTCTTCTATGCTTTATTGG